AAAAATATAATTATAATATTTTTTTTCACCGTATATTCAACACATTTCGTTTTTATATGGAACGTATATTTTAATAAATTTTATTAAAAAAAATGTCTTATATTTTTTAAAAAAAGAAAGTATTATAAATAAATCAAACCACGAAAAAAAATGTTTGTGTATAACACATGACTTTTAAATTCAATAATGTTATTTCAATAATGTTTATTTCCTACCAAATAATGAAATTATGTTGAAAAATGCGTTAATGAACAAATCTTTTGTTATTAGAATGTCTTGTAATTGCCACTTACAGTATTTCTTTATATTTGATATTTCAAATTATCGTTCAGCACAATAAGTACAATAAGTCCGATATTTTTATTAGGCGTAGTAATAATACATGATTGATATGTAAAGAGGTGTATACAAAGTTTTATATTCATATTGTTTACTTAAATGAAATTTTTATAGGAAAAGTTTAAGTAAAGTTATAAAGTGGATTAAAAAATGAAATTTATAGAAAGTTAAATTGATAAAGCTTATTTATGTTATAATTAATGCATGGCCATCCCATACTAGATTGCCATCAAAGATCCAGGGACTTTTATTCTCAACTTTCTCGCATATTCTCAAAATTATTACATATATTATTTTAAAAGGACCCTTGATGATCTTAACATATGGATAGCGTTAAATTCTTTTATTGTTAAATTAAGGAGAGTCCATTGATCAGATTTTCATGATGCGATCATATTAATCCTGCAAATTATATAAAAAGGTGATGTCCTGGTTAGTGAACCCTTTTATCCGCCTTATGCAAGTAAAACGAAAAAATCAAGCAAAATAATAAAACTTACATCATCATTATTATTAATAAGGTATGTTGATTTTATTGCTCGGCTAGCTTCTTGAAAACGATGCTAATCGACGGATTTTCCCTCCTCTATAGATGTTCCAATATAAAACGGGCATACTACCCTTATTAATTATTATATATCTGCATTTTGATCTCGCCGCTGACCATATTTATATTTGAGCTACGTAATTTTTGGTTTTATTTCTTTTGATACTTTGGTGATCGTGTATTCTGTTGCTAGTACTGTATTAATAAATTGAATAAAAATTTTATTAATACTATAAAAAGTTGGATTTATTATCATAAAAGTAGAATGTATTATCATCACGCGTATAATAGGCGCGGTGAAATTATTCAATCTAATCACATGCCTTAACATCACGCTCCTCAATAAATTTGGCGCAGTATAACTAACGACAATGAAAAATAAGCATTTTCACGTGTAGTGCTTCGATCCGGATGAAAACCGTCATCCGGGTTACATAAAAAAAGGACCCGGATTTTATCCGGATCAATCCGGATTCTAATCCGGGTCAAATAATCCGGATAGAAACCGGAATCCGGATTGGATTTACAACTGATCGGCAATAATTCTGGCCAGAATTCATAACGCCGGCCGGAATTACAACTTTGTGTGACATTAAAAATTTTCGTGCCACTATGCATAGCCAATAAAAAATTTTTTACCCGGTGGCTAAACTATTTTTTCGGTGTCACGTGATATTAATTTCGGCCAGAATTACAAATTTGGAAAAGAAATTCATTAGATCCTGATTTATTAGGAAAAATGATATTTTTAAAGTGTAATATGCAAACTATGGAATATATTAATGTATTTCCTCCAGACTTAGATGTGGAAAAAGAAGACTTTATAGAGGAATTTTTGCCTGAATTTGAATCAGAAGAATAGTAAAAATTAATTTTTTTATTTTGTATTTTTTTTTTTAAATACTCTAACAATTTAGCAAAATTTTTTATTTTTAAAAATTTTTTTTTATCTTCATATTTGAATTGAAAAAGGTGTATTTTTTACATTTTTAAAGTTAATAAAATAAAGAACATTTAAATATATTTTACATTTAAAAAAAACTATTTTACAGTTCTTTTCTAATTAGTCAGAACTGTTTTCGCGCAATAACTCGCTATCCAGTGATCGTAAAAAAATGATTAATGGATCATTAGAATCCACTCATAGAGAGCTTTCGAATGGTACCAAAATAACCTTTCTAGCATCAATAGATGGAGAGTTATTCATGTAAATATTTTAAAAATTATCTCATCATCTATCGAAGCTAGAAAGCTCATTTTAGTACCATTCGAAAGCTCTCGATGCGACGATTCCAATGACCCATTAATCGTCTTTCTACGATTACTGGATGGCGATATATTGCGCGAATATAGTAAATATATATGAAAACTCATCCGGATTCCGGTTCAAACCGGATATTTTCCATCCGGATCAAAATCTGGGTCAAAATCCGGATATCCGGATAAAAAAAAATCCGGATTCATCCGGATTCATCCGGATGAGACAGAAACGGATCGAAGCACTATTCACGTGCCTAATTCTTGATGTTTGGCGCAGTATCGTACTGGCGATAAAAAATCGACATACCTTTATTATAACGCATTAAGCAACAAATTTCTAAGAGGTTGGTCAATGATCAGAATTCTCTTCGCCTGTTTCTTCTCTTTCATCTTCATCTTCGCTCCATTAAACTTTGTCATCATTCTTTCATATTCGCTTTCAAGCTCTATATCATCATCGTCCACTTCATTTTCTATATCGTTAAATATAAGGCGGAGTGGAATATTGTGAAAATGAATCGTAGAGGTAAGTATGTAAGTACGAATAGGAAATATTATATTAATTATTTTTTTACCACAGTTGAATTTATGCTGTAGGTTCGAAATTACTTAATCTCGGAGAAGTTCTCTTATGTGAAATAATCTTTTACATAGTGGTAGTGATAAAGATAGACAAAGCTTTCGTAAATATGGGCGGGATAAAATCTAGTGTAGTAAAGAGTATAGGGATGAAAATCTTGTAGTTAGTGATAGAAACAAATTAGCTATAGATATTTTTCGTAAACGTGAGAGAGCGAAGAAATAACTTGATGCTGGAACTCGCATTAAATGGTCTAGGACCCGCGTACTCCCTCCTCTTTGATAGCATCATGCATTTCATTCGCTACCTCTATCATTTTATATTTATTTCATATCTAAAAATTAAAAATTAATAAAGATTTCGCCCACTAGGGCTTATATTTTTTTAATTATATAATTTTGATTGGCAAAAAGTGTAAGACAAAAAGTTAATTCGTTAAAAATCTTAAATAAAGTTAAGAATTAGATACAAACGAAAATACTCCCTTTGAAATCATAAAACATTAGGGCAAGCCAAAAAAAAAGTGCAGTCAGTGTTGAAGCGTACCACCTGGTCGAGCGTACTCTTCGCAGACGGACTGTAATAACGTCCCGCTTATCCATGATGAATAACCGTAGTTTTTTCCCGACCTTCAACTTAATACCTAGCAGACACTTGCGCAGGGATTATTTACATATTTAATATGAAAACGTCTGCAGAATACAAGCGAGTAACCGTAGTTTTTTCTGCACGAGTAAACCAACTGCACTTTGAAGGAAAAGATTTTGTTATACGAAAATTTATTAGATCGAGAAATCGCGAAATTAATACTAGCCGTAGTGGTGGTACAAAATATCCCGCGTGATGGTTTGTCACATGGTCACGTGATGGCGCGGACGCGTTGTTTATACTTATCTCGGCGACGAATTTTTTTGTGGTCTGATCTTTATTTGTCACTTGCACTTGCATAAAATGTTACACCCTTTTTGCAGTGATACGATCACGTGCTATTTTCTTATACGATCCTTTTTATGTATCTTTCTTGGACCATCAGATACTATTTTCTTGTACGATCAGATACGCAAAAATTACCTGTCAAAAGTACAGCCTTTATGGACGACACTACAATAATTAGTGATAGTAAAGATAAATTAGAAAAACTAATTAGTATGTGTCATAGCTTCTTCAAAATTAATAATATTCAAGCAAATATCCAGAAATATGAATTAATTAAAATTAATGCAAAAGAAAAAGAAGATTTGAATATTGAAGGAGTTAAAATTAAGAAAGTTAATGATGAGGAAGGTAATCGATATTTAGGTTTTTACTTTGAATATAATAATAAAAGATCAATATATAAAAGGAAAATTAAAGAAATTGTTGATAAAGCTGCAAAGATAATGAGATTCAAGATGCTGACAGAAAAACAAGTGACAGCGGTTTGGAACATGGTGGTTATATCTCAAATTGAATATCAGTTTTGTTATCTCGAGGTGAATGTGAAAAAATAATGTCGTCAATTTAAAAGTAAAGGTAAACTTGCCATCATCGTTACCAAATTATATAATGTATGACAAAGACTTAATTGGTTTAAAGAACATATATGATTTACAAAGTGAAATGTTAAGTAAGAATATTATATATTACGCTAATAGTTGCAGCGAATTAAGTTTATTATTTGATATACAGATGAGAAACTTACAACTAAAATATTGGACAAGTTATTGCTTAGGCGAACATGGAGAAGTTTTGACGTTAGGGAATAATAGTTATTTAGGTGACGCCTTAAAAATATTAAAAGAAAATAATCTAACAATATGTGATCCCGAAATTGTGGATGGAAGAAATTACTCAATAAAAGGAGGCAATATTAAAATAGAAGACATATTTACGCCTTTAGAATATAAGAAATGGAAAACATCTTTGAAAAAATAAAAATATATTGTTCTTAGAGTAATGCCTTGAAGTGTCAAAGAGAAAAATATTAAAGTGGAAACATTTATGCAAAGCTCAAGGGTCAAGTATCAAAGGAAAATCACCCAAGTGGTACGAGCGCTTAATTGAATTAACTACAGATAAAGATGGAAGTAGAAACTTATCACGTAAATATGTTAATATGAATAAAAATTGGTCATGTAGAAAACAGATTAATTTATACGACGAAGAAAATGATATAGGAAAAAATCAATTAATTACCTGGAATGATATTAATAATGACATAGTTTTGGAAAATACAAAAAGAAATCCAAAAGTTAAAATTTTAAGAAAATTGGAGTACATTGGATAATAGAAAATATGTCTAACATGGATGATTCACCAAACTTGATTAAATGTTCGGGATGTGAAAAAAACATATCAAAGGGATCAAAGGCGATGCAACATAATAAATGTTGGATTTATTTAGACAATAATAGTGGCGCAAGGGTAATTAATTATCGAAAACACAAAGACGCTCTAGATGTAGAGGTTATTAAACCATACGAATCAATAGATAATATTATTCATAATAAGAAATTAGAAAAAGATTTATGTGGATGATACGTCGCTTTATAATAGAAATGTAGAATTTATTGATCAATTTGTAGATGGAGAAGTATCTGCTATCAACCGTTTAAAAGAAAAATGGCTTTCATCGCAGAGGAAGACGTTTAACTTTATTCAAAAAGGAAGTTCATCAAATAAGAAATTTACAAATGGCGATGATAATGCTTTAAGGTCATACAAGATTAAAAATCTGTTGAAAATTTTGCCAACTTATACAATTTTATTTGAAAGAAATTGTGGACATATATTGACTGATGTATGTTTAAGGTGTGAATCAGAGGTTGAGGATTGGGAACATATATGGATATGTGATGACAATGATAAGTCGGAATATGAAATTCTATTGGATACATTAATTACGACTGAAGAGAAATTGAAGGATTTGGATAAAGAAAAATATAAAAGCGTTAGAATTCTAGCGAAAGAAATGGTAAATTTTTTAAATACTCCATCCAATATATTAATAATAGGAAATCAATTACGAATTAGAGAGTTAACTAGAGGAATTTTTAACAATGAGTTATATAAACTTTGTAATTCAAAACAAGAACGACAATTGTTAGAAGAAATTTGGGAAAATTGTTATTTAAATATACGTTCAGGTATATGGTTACAAAGGTGTGAAAAAGCTAACGAAATTGATAAAAGGAAAGGCGTCACTAAAAATGACAAGAAACGTAAACGCTTAACTAGTGGAATAGATGAGGTTGAGACTAACACTTTAGACGAAGAGCGTGGGAAAAATAACAACAATAATCATAAAAAAAAATCAACAAAATGTTAAAAAAATTAAAAAAGAAATTATAATAGAAAATATAGTTAGTAATGGTAATAGGCCAAACATGATGTCATAGACCAGACCTATATAATTTATAATGTCTAGTTTAAATTGTTTAGTATTTTATACTATGATTTGCTTCTTCTAGCTTATAAATTGTATTACGCAATAAATAAATAAATAATGCATATTACTAACAAAAAAAAAAAAAAAATTACCTGTCAAAATACGCGATAATTGATGATGTGATAAACAAAAAGAAATATTTTATTTTTTATCATATTTATACAAAAATAGCGTTCTACAATATTAATAAAATTAAAATAATTACAAAGATAGCCAATAAATAAGATAAGTACATTAATTAGGTAATAAATAATAAATTACCATCGCATAAAACTAAATATTAGAAATAAAGTTAGTAGGGAACGGAAATTACATGTAATAAATAAACGAAAACAAAAAAATAAAAAAACATACCTTAGTAGTTGCAGAGAAGAACCGAAAGACCTAAAAAGAATGAAAGAAACGAAATATAAGAATGAAATAAAAATAAGAAGAAACGCCCATGTAGCGTTGGATATACCTTAATTGCAAACCCGAAAGAGCCAAAGGACCTAAAAACGAAATAAAGTTAGTAGGAAACAAAATGCAAGAAGCAAAAATGAAAAAAAAGAAAGAAAACGTACCTTGAGTGCCGTGCAAAGGAGTGAAAGGACCTAAAGAAAAAAAGATTATCAGAGTACGTTTAAAAAAAATAAACAAACATAAGCCCATTAATTAGCCAATAAAATTTAATAGGGTGCTATCACCGGGTAAATTATTATGGTTAAATCACCCAAGGTGAAAAATTGTTAGGCCGGGCAAAAAAATTTTTAGATTCACGTGACATAAAATTTTAAAAATAACCCGGCCGGCCGGCATTTTTTTTTTATATATCAGATATGTAAAAATTTTTTCATATGTAAAATTTTTTTACGCACATTGGCCAAAAACTTAAAATCACATGATAAAAATTTTTTACTATAAAAAAAAAATTTCCATTTTTCGAAAAACTGACCCGGCCGGGTCACGAGAATCTAAATTTTTTTTTTGCCCGGCCTTAAATCACCCTGGGTGATAAAATTTTTAGCAAAATCACCTGGGTTAAAATTAATCTTAATATTAATATTTATATAATATTTAACTATTTATTAATTTCTATAATAATAAAAAATAATTTCTTTTTTTGCAATATTTTATTATGAAATAATTTATTAAATACATTACTAAATTAGTAGAATTAGAAGTTATGTATATAAAAGAAATAAAGAAAAAGATTATTTTGATTTATAAATCTTGTTCATTCTTTCTGACGTTTTTGACCAATTTGAGGACTTAAAGTTTCTCATGTTATCTCATAAATCGATTTTTCTTAATTACAAAATGTAAGCGGCAACCATCTATATTTTCGCAAGAAAAGTTGAAAAAAACTTAATAACTTATATGCGATTGTAAATATGACATCACCTAAATAATTAAAATTACAAATATTCGGTTACTTTATTATAAATTTTACGATGGTTTCTTAGGAGTATGTTTACATAATTAAATTATGCCAAAATTACGAAACTTTAAAATAAATTAAACCAATATAAACACAAAACACACAAAGACGGATTGTATTAAATATTTTCAGCCGGCAAAAGTTATCACATCTGTTGCGTCATCATTTTGATCTCGAATTTACATCATGATTATTCCTATTAATAAAAGTAACTACTAATCAACCACTGAAAAAAAATCAGACTAAACTTTAATTATGTAACTGGGAGTTGACTTATTTCTTACACACAATAATTTTTTTGCTTTCGTCCTTAGTATTGTTCATAGTATAAAGTTGTTAATAAAAAAAAATCAGATAATAAAATCTCATTTTTCCCACAAAAAAAATTTTTTGAAATTCGGTGTGGTAAGATAATCCACAAATTAATTGTTAAATAAAGAAAAAAAAAAGAGCTTTTCTTATTTTTATTTCACTTTGTTAGATTTTACAACCTTTATTACATTGGTTAGGGTGGTTGGTCCCTCAGGGATGACCCGCCGCGGTTCCTTTGTTCGATCAACCAAAGGTGACAACTTCACGATAGCGGCGGTTTGGTTCATAGTTTTTGTAAATTGCTTTAGGCTCTAGATTTGATATTTCAGTAGGTTTTTCTTTTTTAGGACACAGAATCTTGGTGAGAAATCTGGAAAAAGCTTTACAGAAGTAACAAGACTGGAAAGCAAAAGAAAAGTAAGTTTCTTTGCAAATTTACTTTTGGAGAAACGTCAATCTTATACAAATATTTTATTTTTAATATGTCTATAGGGGTTCTTATTGAGAAATTGATCACGTGGCTTATCGCTCCGGACTCAACAACAGTTACCGTTTCCCTAGTGATACTAATCCGGACTAAGTCACACAGCTAGTGTAATGTACTACAAGATCGCGAATTTTTCTGCTTATCAATAAATTCCAAATGAAAAAAATACAAGAGATTCGCAAAGAACAATCCAACTTCCTGCGAACTTGCTTAAGTCCTCGTCCGCTTGAGTTCTTCAAGAGGTTTATCTGGCTATAACAATTATAAATTAGGATTAGAAAAGCGTTGAAGGATGAACCAAATTCAGAGAATTTACTGGAAATGGAAAGAAAATATAACAACGATGAATTTAAGGATGGGTGGTCGTTATATGATGATTGAAAAAAAAAATAAGAAAGTCAATGTAAAGTTACCTTCAAAATAATAAGAAAAGGTAAAGAAAAGTTTCAACATCTCAAGCTGAAAAAGACATCTTAGATATATATCGCTATAAGTTCAGCCAATGTCCAGTCATAGATCTTCGATTAAATTCATACCTCTCCCTTTCTTTAAATCAGGAATTACAAGATAAGATTTTACATGAAGTTTTCGATTCAATATATCTCTCCGATTTCTTTAATGCTAACTTGGGTTGGTGTGAAGCAATTTGAAGAATAGTCTATTTACGAAAATGATTTAGGACTGTTAAAAGACATAAAAGAACTATTAAAAGAGACATTAGGGTGATTGTAAGTTGTTAGATCATAATAATCATTAATACCTATTATATGTAGTGTAAAAGTTTCTCTCTGGATGCATTGAACTCATTGAGGGATCTCTTTATTTTTTTATTAAAATATAATTAGAATATATTATGGAATATGGAGAATAAGTTAAAAAGTATTTATGATTTATAGTTTAGGCATTATTCTATAATTCTTTAATATCTTTCTAGAGAATTATATAGCTTTATTTTAGTTTAGTATTTTGTTTAATATTAATTATATTAATAAAAAATAAAAATGCTGTATTTATGTTTGCCTTAAAAATGTAATCTATGACTTATTTTAAAGGTTTTTAGAATTCTTTATTAGTTAAAAAAACTTAGAGAAATATATAGAAAATATATTGAATGTTATTAATTAATACTAGTTGCAACCTGTTGCTTCGCACCATTATTCTATTCTTCATATATTTAAAGTAAAAGTAGTGTAATTAATTTTTATTTAACGCTATAAAAGATAAATTTGATAAAAAAAAATTTTTTTTAACGCAAAAAAATGGCGCAAATGATCGGTGTGTTTGGTTTGAAGTGATAACTGACGTCGGAGATGTCAAACTGATCAGTTGTGGCAAAAAGGTCAAACAGTAAGATTATAGGTGTTTCAATAATTTTGTAACAAAATATAGGAGTATCACTAATAATCCCAATAGAAAATTAGCAATGAAAGTATAATTCCGGTAAATAATGTAAGGGTTTCTTAAGAATAAAATCTATCAAACAAAACACAAGGGTAAAACAAGTAAAACACGCAAAAAGTTTACTGTAATAAAAACTAACAATCAAATCATACAAAAAAAACAGCACTTCGGATAACACCGTTACTTTATAGTCATCCAAAAGTTGTGGATTATCAGAAGATAACATTCTTAAAAATTCTTAAATTTATTGGTCTAGCCAGCAACAATCAATTCGTGCACTTTAAAGTTCTCTTTGCAACTTTCAAATAAAACTTACTCGAATATAAAGTCAATCAAGTATTATTGATATTATCGAGCATTATCATCCAATATTAGTATCTTTACGTTATAACGGCCGAATTCACATTCAGGCTTCTAAAGATATGCTTAATTGTAGAAATATCGGAAAAAGTTTTTTTTTTTTGTATCATTATTTTCATAATGATGATAAATTAAAAATTAAAGACTTATTTGTAATGGATCATATTTAAATAAATATATAATAATTTGAAATTTTCATATAAAAATAAATAAACATTTCTTAATGTTCAAGACTAAAAAATTGTGAAATTACCGGCGTAGTAGTGAAAAATTAGTTATTAATGTGGCTAAAAAAAAAAATTATTAGCGAATTATTACGTCATTCTATGTCTAAAATCGTTTGATTTTGCTTACGAGTATCGTACTAACTAGACGGATTGCCTTATAATGAGATGAATCTTTTATGACGAATGTCGATCGTAAGGCGCAGCTAATGTTCAATGAGTGGTACAACATAGTACAAATCTAAATTTATATATTTGAGTAATGTTTCAAAAAAAGCCCTATCGAAATTTTCTTTTTATCAAAAAAATTTTTTTCAAGAAATGACGAGAGGATATTCATTGGAAAAAGATTTAAGATTATTAATAAATAATCCAAAATATAGTGATATAGAAATTTTATGTGAAGATGAAAAGAAATTATATGGTTGTAGAGCAATTTTAGCAGCAAGATCCGAAGTATTTGATAGATTACTTTATAATGGGATGAAAGAAAGTTATGAAAATAAAATTTCTTTTCCAAAGATTAAATCTTCTGGAATGGAAATTGTATTAGAATATACTTATACAGGATCAATTAAAGAAGAATCTTTAACAAAGGATAATATAATTGAAGCTTTTTACGCTGCTGACTATTTTCAATTACAAGACCTTCAGGATTTTATTATGAAAGGTTTCAAAAATACATTAGAAAAAAAATCTACCGAAAATTATTCACCAGAATTATTATCTAAATTTGCAGGAAAAATGCCATTAACAGTAGATAATATTCTACTAAACTTATTGGTTGAAGCGGTAGCAACTATTCCATTAAACACAATTGAATTTGGTCGATTATCTATTGCGGGTCTTCAATATCTTTTATCATGTACATATGAAAAAGAAAAGCCTTTTGCAACCCGAGAATATGAACTTTTTCGATATAGTGCTATTCTTGTAGCAAAACAAGTTTCTAATGATGCATTTAAAACTTTTTTGAAACGATTGCCAACCTTAGACCAATTAGAGAATTCAATGATCCAAGTAGAAAATGAACCTATCCCCGATTATCAAAAAATTGCTAAAGAATTGGAACCTTTGATTGAATTTATTGATTTCAGAAGAATTAAAGGTTCAATATTGGTTGATATCATCGAGCCGTTAGAAATTGTCCCAACTAAAATAATTTTAAATGTTTATCGACAAAGTATAAAATCAAATAATTTCAATTTAAATGATATCCGAGGAATACCCATCTTACCAAATGATAGAATTAATGAATCTGATTATATTTGGGATAACACAGCATGTGGATCAAAACTTATTATTGAAGATAATGGAAAAGTTGTAAGAGCACCAAAGAGTCTTGGATCATGGAGAAGTGTTAGAGCTAAATTGATATTAGAAAATAATGGTATTTATGAATGGGACGTTATTATTGAAAAAGCTTGTAATGCTTCTTGGATTGGAGTAGCATCAGAAAATTTAAACTATGAAGATTTTGCAGGGGATCAACCTATTGGATGGGTATTAGGTTCCGGTGGTTATTGTCGTAATTTTGGTATGACGGTATATTATTGTCCGCCATTTGGTGATAGCACAAAAGTTACTGTTCACTTAGATATGAATAAAAGAACTTGCGCTTTTACAGTCAATGGTACAAAGTATCCAGAAGTACCATCATGGAATAATTTACCATCAAAACTTTATCCAGTAGCATCATTGTGTTATCCTGGTCAATTTCGAATTCAACCTCATAAAAAAAATATTTAATTGCGAAGATTTTAGAATAAAAAAATTTTGCTCATTATTTTATAAAAAATGAGAACGTGGGCGTATTTAAATGAAATTTAGTAAAACGAGATTTAATTCGTGACGAAAAAAAAAAAATGCTTACTAGGAATGATAATATGAATTTTGGTAATATTTAAATAAATAAAGTTGTTTATTACTATTTATTGTTATTTATCACTTATCTGTTATTTCTCTGACCTGGTCACTTGAGTGGCTGTATAGAATTACAAATTATAATATAAACGTGACATAATTTAGCCTTGAAATTGTATAAATAAAATTTTGGCCAGAATTATAAGATCATATGATATAATTTTTTAATTGAAACGACATGTGACTAATAACCCAAGTCATTTTGTCTTTTCAAGTCTAATTAAATGCTTAGAATTTGTTTGATAACTTGATAATAAACCGATTATTATTCAAAACAAGTGTTTTTTTGACGCAACAATTAATTCGTCCATTTTTAACATCATTATCTTTGTTAAATTTTACTCGAATTCAAAGGTCAATCAAATATTAATTGATATTATCGAACTTTATCCAATAGTATCTTACGTTATAACGGTCGGATTTAAAATTCAAGCTCTTAAAAAAATGCTTAATTTTGTAGAAATATTAGAAAAAAGTGTTAAGATTATAAAGATAAATAAACATCTCTTATCGTAATCTAGTACGGATTACTTCATAATGAGATGAAAAGATATAAAAAAGAACGTGATCTTTTATGCGTACATACGACCATAAGGCGTCTTCAATGGTAGTACAGTACAACATAGTACAAATCTAAATTTATAAGCTTTTTAAGCCCTCGATTGAAATATTTTTTTTTTAAAAAAATAAATTTTTCCAAGAAATGACGAGAGGATATTCATTAGAAAAAGATTTAAGCTTATTGGTAAATAATCCAAAATATAGTGATATAGAGATTTTATGCGAAGATGAAAAGAAATTATATGGTTGTAGAGCAATTTTAGCAGCAAGATCCGAAGTATTCGATAGATTACTATATAATGGGATGAAAGAAAGTTATGAAACACAAATTCCTTTCCCAAAGATTAATTCTTCTGGAATGGGAATTGTATTAGAATATACTTATACGGGATCAATTAAAGAAGAATCTTTAACAAAGGATAATATAATTGAAGCTTTTTATGCTGCTGACTATTTTCAATTACCAGACCTTCAGAATTTTATTATGAAAGCTTTCAAAAATACATTAGAAAAAAATCCTACAGAAAATTATTCACCAGAATTATTATCTAAATTTGCAGGAAAAATGCCATTAACAGAAGATAACATTCTATTAAATTTATTGGTTGAAGCGGTGGCTATTATTCCATTAAATACAATTGAATTTGGTCGATTGTCTATTGCAGGTCTTCAATATCTTTTATCTTGTACATACGATAAAGAAAAACCTTTTACAACCCGAGAATATGAAGTTTTTCGATATAGTGCTATTCTTGCAGCAAAACAAGTTTCTAATGATGCATTCAAAACTCTTTTGAAACGATTGCCAACCTTAGACCAAATAGAGAATTCAATCCAAGTAGAAAGTGAACCTATTACTGATCATCAAAAAATTGCTAAAGAATTGGAACCTTTAGTTGAATTTATTGATTTCAGAAGAATTAAAGGTTCAATATTAGTTGATATCATCGAGCCACTAGAAATCGTCCCAGCTAAAATAATTTTAAATATTTATCGACATAATACAAAATCAAATAATTTCAATTTAAATGATATTCGGGGAACACTACTATATAGAACTAATGAATCTGATTGTGTTTGGGATGAGACAGCATGTGGATCAAAACTTATTATTGAAGATAATGGAAAAGTTGTAAGAGCACCAAAGAGTCTTGGATCATCATGGAGAAGTGTTAGGGCTAAAATGATATTAGAAAATAATGGTATTTATGAATGGGACGTTATTATTGAAAAAGCTTGTAATGCTTCTTGGATTGGAGTAGCATCAGAAAATTTAAACTATGAAAAATTTGCAGGAAATCAACTTACTGGATGGGTATTGGCTTCCAGTGGTTATTATTGTAATTCTGGAAATTATATAGGCAATTACTGTCCAGGATTCGGAGATGGTGCAATAATTACTGTTCACTTAGATATGAATAAAAGAACTTGCGCTTTTACAGTCAATGGTACAAGGTATCCAGAAGTGCCAACATGGAATAATTTACCATCAAAACTTTATCCAGTAGCATCATTGTATTATCCTGGTCAATTTCGAATTCAACCTCATAAAAAAAATATTTAATTGCGGAGATTTTAGAATAAAAAATTTTGATCATTATTTTATAAGAACGTTGGCGAATTTAAATGAAATTTAGCAAAACGAGATTTAATTCGCGACGAAAAACAAAAAAAATACTTACTAGGTGTGATGATATGAATTTTAAATAAATAAAATTATTTATTGTTATTTATCACTTATCAGTCAGTTATTTACTCATTTGGCCGTATAGAATTACAAATTATAATATCACGTGACATAATTTAGCCTTGAAATTGTATAAATAAATTTTGGCCAGAATTATAACTAAGATCATATGATATAATTTATAATCATTTAACCTTGAAATGATATGTGACTAATGATCCAAGTCAAATGGTCTTTTCAAGTCCAATTAAATGCCTAGAATTTGTTTGATAACTTGATTGAGTTTTCCTGTTAATAAACTGATTATGATTCAAAACAAATGTTTTTTGACGTAAATATGTAAATACTGTAAATGTGGATCCATTTTCAAAAGAATTACTAAACACACGAGATCATCCTATACCGTGATTCGTTGAAAAACGTATCGTAATAATTTTTTATGCTAATACTTTTTTTATATTTTATATAAATCTGCGACAAAATATTGAAATTACGAAAAAAAATTTTTTTTTTTTTTTTTTTTTTTTTTTTTGGAAAAAAAAAAAAATGACGAGAGGATATTCATTAGAACAAGATTTAAGATTTTTAATAAATAATCCAAAATACAGTGATATAGAAATTTTATGTGAAGATGAAAAAAAATTATATGGTTGTAGAGTAATTTTAGCAGCAAGATCTGAAGTATTTGAAAGATTACTTTATAATGGAATAAAGAAAAGTTATGAAACTCAAATTTTTTTTCCAAAGATTAATTCTACTGAAATGGAGATTGTATTAGAATATATTTATACAGGATCAGTTAAAGAAGAATCTTTAACAAAGGATAATATAATTGAAACTTTTTACGTTGCTGACTATTTTCAATTATTGAACCTTCAGGGTTTTATTATGAAAACTTTCAAAAATATTTTGAAAAAGAATTACACTGAAGATTATTCACCAGAATTATTATCTAAATTTGTGGAGAGAATGCCATTAATGGTGAATAGGATTTATAGTGTTTTTCTAAATTTATTGGTTGAAGCGGTAGCGAATATTCCATTAAATACAATTGAATTTGGTCGATTGTCTATTGCAGGCCTTCAATATCTTTTATCTTGCACATATGAAAAAGAAAAGCATTTTACAACCCGAGAATATGAAGTTTTTCGATATAGTGCTATTCTTGCAGCAAAACAAGTTTCTAATGATGCATTTAAAACTCTTTTGAAACGATTGCCAACCTTAGACCAAATAGAGAATTCAATCCAAGTAGAAAGTGAACCTATTACTGATCATCAAAAAGTTGCTAAAGAATTAGAACCTTTAGTTGAATTTATTAATTTCAGAAGAATTAAAGGTTCAATATTAGTCGATATGATCGAGCCTCTAGAAATTGTCCCAGCTAAAATAATTCTAAATATTTATCGACAATGTATAAAATCAAATAATTTCAATTTAAATGATATTCGGGGAATACCAAAAATAGAGTACGTTTGGGATGAGACAGCATGTGGATCAAAACTTGTTATTGGGGATAATGGAAAAGTTATAAGAGTACCAAAGGGTCTTGGATCATGGAGAAGTTTTAGAGCTAAAATGGTATTAGAATATAGTTATATTTATGAATGGGATGTTATTATTGAAAAAGCTTCTTGGGTTGGAGTAGCATCAGAAAATTTAAACTATGAAGATTTTGCAGGTAATCAACCTAATGGATGGGTATTGGGTTCCTGTGGTGGTTGTTACAATTCTGGATATTATAAAAACGACTACTGTCTATCATTCGGAGATGGTGCAAGAATTACTGTTCACTTAGATATGAATAAAAGAACTTGCGCTTTTACAGTCAATGGTACAAAGTATCAAGAAGTACCATCATGGAATAATTTACCATCAAAACTTTATCCAGTAGTATCATTTTATCATACTGCTGCTTGTCAATTTCGAATTCAACCTCATAAAAAAAAATATTAATTACTAAATTTTTGCTCATTATTTAATAACTATAAATGAAAACGTGGACGAATTTAAATGAAATTTAGTAAAACGAGATTTAATTCGTGACGAAAAAAAAAAAAAATATGACCTGGTCATTTTGCTATATAAAATTACAAATTATAATATCACATGACATAATTTAGCCTTGAAATTGTACAAATAAATTTTGGCCAGAATTATAAGATCCATATGATATAATTTTTTAATTGAAATGGCATGTGACTAATGATCCAAGTCAATTGGTCTTTTCAAGTCTAATTAAATGCTTAGAATTTGTTTGATAACTTGATTGAGTTTTCCTGTTAATAAACTGATTATGATTCAAAACAATGTTTTTTTGACGTAAATACGTAAATACTGTAAATGTGGATCCATTTTCAAAAGAATTACTAAACGCACGAGATCATCCCATACCGTGATTCGTTGAAAACCGTATCGTAATAATTTTTTATGCTAATACTTTTTTATATATTTTATATAAATCTGCGACAAAATATTGAAATTACGAAAAAAAATTTTTTTTTTTTTTTNTTTTTTTTTTTTTTTTTTTTTTAAGGAAAAAAAAAAAAATGACGAGAGGATATTCATTAGAACAAGATTTAAGATTTTTAATAAATAATCCAAAATACAGTGATATAGAAATTTTATGTGAAGATGAAAAAAAATTATATGGTTGTAGAGTAATTTTAGCAGCAAGATCTGAAGTATTTGAAAGATTACTTTATAATGGAATAAAGAAAAGTTATGAAACCCAAATTTTTTTTCCAAAGATTAATTCTACTGAAATGGAGATTGTATTAGAATATATTTATACAGGATCAGTTAAAGAAGAATCTTTAACAAAGGATAATATAATTGAAACTTTTTACGTTGCTGACTATTTTCAATTATTGAACCTTCAGGATTTTATTATGAAAACTTTCAAAAATATTTTGAAAAAGAATTACACTGAAAATTATTCACCAGAATTATTATCTAAATTTGTGGAGAGAATGCCATTAATGGAGAATAGGATTTATAGTGTTTTTCTAAATTTATTGGTTGAAGCGGTAGCGAATATTCCATTAAATACCATTGAATTTGGTCGATTGTCTATTTCAGGCCTACAGCATCTTTTATCTCATACACATGAAAAAAAAAAGATTTTTGCAACGCCAGAATATGAAGTGTTTCGTTATAGCACTATTCTTGTAGCAAAACAAGTTTCTTATGAAGCATTTAAAACTTTTTTGAAACGATTACCAACCTTAGACCAATTAGAGAATTCAATCCAAGTAGAAAATAAATTTATTACCGATCATCAAAAAGTTGTTAAAGAATTGGAACCTTTGATTAAATTTATTGATTTCAGGCGAATTAAAGGCCAAATATTAGTTGATATCATTGAACCACTAGAAATTGTCCAAGCTAAAATAATTTTAGATGTTTATCGATATTATACAAAGTCAAATAATTCAAATTTAAATGATATTCGAGGAATACCAAAAATAGAGTACGTTTGGGATGAGACAGCATGTGGATCAAAACTCATTATTGAAGATAATGGGAAGGTTGTATACGCACCAAATGGTCTTAATTCATGGAGAAGTGTTAGAGCTAAGAATAAGTTAGAATATGAAGGTATTTATGAATGGGATTTCATTATCAAAAACCTTTGTTTTGCTGCTGTTGGTGTATGTGCATCAGAAAATTTAAATTATGAAGCTTATCCAGGATATCAATTTGCTGGATGGATAATTGATTACAATGGTTGTTGTTATTCTTTTGGAAATTGTATACACAATTACTGTCCACGATTCGGAGATGGTGCAAAAATTACTGTTCACTTAGATGCGAATGAAAAAACTTGCGCTTTTACAGTTAATGGCACAAAGACTCCAAAATTATCGGCATGTAATAATTTAACATCAAAATTTTATCCATTAGTATCATTATATAATTCAGGTCGGATTCAAATTCAATCACATAGTAAAGAAATTGAAATTTTTTAATTTTAGTATAGAATATTATTTCTCGTTAATGTTCACGTGATGATTTCGATTAATGTAACGTAGTTCAGTATATAATAAATTTGAAGACGTCACAATCGGTACATAATATTTTTTAATAAATATGACTTTGCAGTATATTTTATTTAATTTCATACGAGATTTTTATATTACTTAGCGACGGAAATTTTTTATACAACGCAGTAAAATATACTTGGAGAATTTTTTTTATATCGTTATCGCATTATTCGCATAGAAAAAAATTAATACAATTTTTAATAGGTCCATATTATAACGTAATATATTAGATTAATTTTTCATTAAAACCAGTATATAATTATGCCTATTTCTATTATAATATCTATTAATCTATTCTTAAATAAAATTTTGAAAAAAAATACGCAAATAAAAATACGCAGATAAATATACGTGTTTATTGAGATCTGTGTAATACGCAATTATTAAATTTTTATTATTTGCTTAAAAAGAAAATAACTAAAATAAATTATATACAATTTTTTTTTAACATGTATTCCAAATATCGAAAAAAATATTAAAATAATTATAACTATTTCTATTATCTTATCTGTTATAACCCTTAAATAATATCGATGTTTTTTTTTTGATAAAATTACGTATTACGTATCCAGATCTGTACGATAAAAATAATTACTTTTACTTTTTATTATTAGCTTAAAAGAAAATTAACTAAAAAAAAAAAATTATATACAATTTTTTTAATAAATCTATATTATTGATCTATATTATTATAAATCGAAAATCGAAATTCTAAAAATATATCTGAATATTAAATTAAATTTCTTATTAAAATAAATATATCTATTTTTCTATTTGTCTTAATCTAATTATTATAACACATTAATTTAATCTAACCTCATATAAAATTGTGGTGATAATCTGTAAATAAAAAAAATTAATAAATAAATTAATATAAATTTTTTAAAAAAATAAAAATACGGACGTAACTATTTCATATTTATACATACCCAGATTTGTACAAAGTAATATTTCCATAAGTTTTTAATATACCCAAACTTTTATATATAGAACATTTCTCTATAAATTCTTTAGAAGGTTGAAAATTATGTTCCATCCATAAATAAGAAACAGATTTTCTTATTTTATTTGATTCATTTTTTTCATATGTTTTACATAAAAATTTCTCCCATACTTCAACAGAAAAACTACAATTAATTAATTCAAGAGCATGTAAATTGGTGGGATTATTTTCTTCAAATTTTAATATCTGAAGCAAAAAATTATCACAATAATTAATATTAATTTGATTTTCTGAAGGGATGGAAAAAAGACATAATCTCTGAATATCCTTACAAGATTTGAGTAGAGTAATTAAAGGAGGATTAATCGTTGAAATTGGGATTGAACAATTTTTTAAAAGAGGACAACAAGTTATAATAGAATCCAATAATAAATTACAATTAGATGGATCTTCTATTCTTGAACCTTCAATTATAACTTTTCTTAAATTTCGAGTATTCTTAATTAATAAAGCTAAAAAATTCATCTCATATTTATGATCACATTCAAATTCGATTTTTTTTAAATTTTTGAGTTTTGGAGTCCTCGCAGATCTATTACTATTACAAGAATTTCTATGAACACATTTTAAAGAAAATTCTTCTAAATTTATAAAATCTGGTAATAATTCTAAAAATCCACAAGAACCTTCTAATTTAAGTTTGGTTATAAAAAAAGTTTTCCTTTGTAATTCTAAACCAACGCCAGGTGTTGACCAATATTCATTAGGTGATATTCTATTAATATTTACAATATATAATTTTTGTATTTTTTTCTGAACACTTATTAAATCTGCCAATGATTGTGTATTTTGACAACCATGAATCATAATTTGAGAAATGTTTGTATTATTTAATGCGAGTTGTGTATAAATTTCTTTTGTATTTTGATCATCCACGCATTCTAATCCGGTTAGATGTGAAAGACAATTCTTAGTGTCACCTAATTTTACTAAATATTCAAATAAAGGAAATGTTATTTCATATTTCTTTGGTTTTATACGAATTAAACTTAATTTTGGTGATTCTTTAAAAAAAAGTAATAAAAGTTTCGAACAGATTAAATTAATTTGATCATATTTTGTCTTATCTTCATCGTCCGATTCCATAGAATTATCTCGACCTGTAACTTTTTTACCAAGTTTCTTAAGACGAGTAACAACTTTTTGAATAGGGTGAGTTGAATGTTTTTCATTATATTTATCATTCCAACGTAAAATTGATTTATAAAGATAATTAAGGTCTAAACCTCTTAAATAACTTGGATAATTAAAACTTGATCGAATTTGATATGTTGGAACATTAATTCCATTTGTTTGTAATTCAATTATTAATTCTTGAGGAAGTAATGATAAATATGTATTAATTAATTTAATCGGTTGAATTTGAGTTGAAGGGGATGAAGTATTTTCCAATCGATAAAAGAAATTCCAAGGATCCCTCCATAAGATTGGAATTGTTAATTCACACCAAAGTCGATTTACAAAAAGGCATGAATATAATGATTGTCTATTATATCTTAGAAAATATAAAATTATTGATAAAACATCCGTATTAAATCTATTATTATTTTTATTATAAATTTTTACGGACATTTTTTTATTTTTTTAATAAATTTTTAATTTTTTTTTTTTTTTTTTTTTTTTT